CCAGCGCCAAAGTTTGGTGTTCTCTGAATCCGGCCAGACCGCAAGGCCGTGGACGACAAAAAAAAAAAAGCATAAAGCGGCCGCGGCGGTGACGACGAGGATAATAATAAAGGAGATGGTTCCGCCGCAGTGGTGGCCGTGACATTGGCCGCGTGCAGGACGAATTATTCGAATTCGTTCAGCTCGAGATGAGCTCACCCAAKAACCTTTGTGACAGTTTCCATCGTTCAGCAGCTGTACATCATAATAAAATTTATATCAACTGTGATCACCGCCAGTCCGGTAGATCGAGTCTACAGCAGTACACCTGCAGTAGCGTAACTGGAGTTCATTCAAGGAGGTGTGGCGATTTAAACAMTACATTATTTTATTACTTATATATAGGCTATAAATGTGTTTAAAACATCACCAGTAAAAATTTCAAGTGGGCCATCTCCGGATCGCCAACCGTCAACTACTCCACTGCAGCGAACGACGCGCGACACCAAATCATCGTCACCATCGTTGCCGCTGCAGTTGTCACGTCCGAGAAGTTGGCCCACCGACTTTGGTGTAACGGCTCAAATTATTTTCACCAATATTTTGCGAGTTAATCACAAGAATTTGTGAGTCAGACGTTTATGAACTACAGACGAAACATAAGAATGGGTGAGACAACTTCACGAAGCACTCCAACATATTATATCGTTCTGAAATTTTATAATTTATAAAACAAGAATTGTCGAGATTTGTTAGAACTTACTAGCCAATTTTTGAAATTGGTGAGTCCGCTCTCGCCTCTTTACCCACAAATTCCACATTTCGATCGTATAGTCTGCCCACCCATGTTATCCTCTAATTTTGAAAATTGTATCAAATGATATCGTGTTGTGTTCGATAATTTGCGATTCCACAATTTTAGAATTTCTGATGAGGCACTGTTATAATACATAGTCACGAGGAGAATTGAAATTTGAATGTGTCAATTGTTTTTGTTATTATTTTATGGTTACCTATCTGTGATTATTTTCACGCTATGATCTTTTATTTTTCAAAAACAAAAAAAACGGTTTCGCACTTGGYAATAGACTGAGTGCAAGTGAAAAAAGTTACAACAAATTTTCTACACACAAAAGCAAAAAACTGCAGTGGGTGCACGGRGATCGTATTCCTGGACTCGATCACCTCGGCAATGTCGTGTTGAATCGGCGTCGCTGATCCACGTCAAATAACAGGTCGGCCGACGGTGACCGGCGCACTGTGACGAAAAAGGTAACCGCCGTGGAAGTCACAGGGATTAATCGAATATCATCGTTTCGAAGCAAACTRTTCATGCTACGAGCGAAAGTCGTCACGACCGCAGAACCACAAATTACGTAAAATCGGTTGTTGGCTATATCATATAATATATGGCATCGGATATGAAATTTCGAAGTCGGTAAGTATCTACATTGCCCCATAATAACACCCACCGGATGTGCATAAGACTGCAGACGGTTACTGCAATATGTTTTACGAATACCTTGATCGGCTTGATCAATSGATAGGAACTGTGACGCGACCGGGGACGTTAGATGGTAGGTATATATTCCGTCGCCCATTGTTCGATAAATCTTCTTATTTGTGCCTTTATTACTTCCATCACCATAAGTCACCTAAATGTATTATAACGTCTTCCCTTTGAAAATTCATGGGCACTCCACTGATAGAGGAACCTCTGGAGAAGTTTTTTATATAGACACTCTCATGGAATAGGTATTATATAGATATACCTAC